AACAATGAGAACACATGGACACAGGGAGGGGAGCACTACACACTGGGGTCAGTTGGGGGGAAATAGGGGAGGGACGGTGGGGGGTGGGAAGCTGGGGAGAGATAGCAAGGGGAGAAATGCCAGATGTAGGTGATGGGGAGGAAGGCAGCAAATCACACTGCCACGTGTGTTCCTATGCAACAATTTTGCATGTTCTTCACATGTACCCCAAAACCTAAAATGCAATAAAATAAATAAATGGGAAAAAAAAAAAAAGATGAGAGGAAGTAAAAAAAACAAAAAACAAAAAACAAAATGCATTTTCAATGTTTATTTTCTTTCTCTTGGGTTTCAAGATACAACCTTGAGGCAAGCTGCAGAAGCCTTTCCTTAGACTTAAAAAAGACTCCACATCTCTCCCTTTCTCACGGTATATACTCCCTTCATATCTATCTAACCCTATGCTAGTATCTAATTATATGCCTTCTTAGAAGTTCCAGGAGCTAATCTTGAGACAGACAGACCAAGTCTGGAGACCCAGCTACAAAATTCCAGAGATTAATCCAAGGACACTAGTTAACAACCCAGCCATTGTTGAAGTGACATCAGCCCACACTCCAGGTGGAGTGGGACCCAAGTTAGCCACCAGAACAAGACACACAGACATCATACTTGGCCCAATTCCTTCATGCCTTCTTTATCTAGCTTTCCCTTTTTAAGCCCCTGCCTTCCACCAACCCCAGCCCCAAATCAGAGCAGTTACTTTGGATAGGAATCTGGCTGCTTCCCCCTTTTTACTGGTTTTGGTTAATAAAGTCACTGTCTTTATCAGACCTTGCTCTTGTTAATTGGACTATACAAGCAGAGACCATCTGGACTTGCATTCAGTTACAAACATACAATGTGCATATGTGGTAACAATGGTATTAAAACATTCCAATAATTAGTGGAGCTCATTCTCTTTATGTCACCTCAATTAGCCATGGGCTTCGAGAAGCACATAGAATGTTTACTTAGGGATGCCAAATTTTATTTTGTGCCACTGACTATTTAAAATTTAAATTACCCATACTTGTGTATCATATCCCCTTGCTCCCCCAACACCACCACCAAGACTATATAGCTCTGGGAGGATAGGAACCATCTCTCTATAAACCATATAGAAGCTCAAGTGTTACATCCTCTACAAAGCCTTCTGTGATGATCTGTTCTCAGCAGAAGGTAACTCCTTCCTTGATTCCTTGTTGTGCTGAGTGTCAGCACTACCCCTTTAAGATTTTTTAGCACATTCTCACTCCTCTAAATATTTCAAGCCCTTGGGGAATTAAAAAAAAATTCAAAAAATAGCTGGGATCCATGTCCTTAATAACAAAACTAAAAGCTAGCCATAGGTATACACATATTAATCAAGCTAAATTACAGTATGGCCATTTTTCTTCTAGTACAATTATCTTTGGCTTTAAGACAAAAATGAATCATTAGGGTTCTGCATGCCTTCTGGCAAAGAAATAAATATACAGTGTGAGCTGAATACTCAACATTGTGAGTGTCATTAGAACAAGTTCTATAGATATGAATTTCCCGAGTTAATCCTCCTTCATTATCTTCATTAGCTAACAATGCACATGGAGTCACTGCCCATAATTATTGCCCTAACAGACATGGATGTTTGAAATATTAACTTTCCCACAGACTCCAAACCTTTAGTAAGCAGCTCTCAATGATTCATTATATTAATAATACATGTCATCACACTCCTCTTAAATGTGCATGAGATTAAAAACCACCCATGTTGCAAACCTTCCAATATCATTTTTAGTATAATTTGTTACCTTTGAGATACTGTAATTGTAACAGCACCCAGGTACCACTGTAATAAAGATAAGTTTAATCATCTGGCTTGTAAGTAACCAGTATTATAACTTATTCCACTTTTACTCCATTTTTAACATGCATTCAAGTGAAAATATTTCATAACACAAAGTATAATACTTTTTAAAGTACATACGTTTTTACCCATTAATTCTTTCCCCAGAAGTCACTGCCACCATCAATTTGTGTTTATTTTTCTCATGCTTGCTTTACTGCTCTTATTACATATGTATGTATCTATAAATAAATCATAGATGATAAAAAATAAAGTAATATGTTTAATTCACAGGATAACCTAGTTTAATATTGTATAAAAAGGGTAAATTAATTTTGATAGATATTTTATAGACAAAGGAATAATTAAAAATTGAAATTTATCAAGAAATTAGCATGCAATATACTGATGTCTATTAAAAAGTACACTGTTAAGCACTATTTGGAGAATTATAATATCCTAATTCTAATCACATATTTTATAAACTTTTATAAATTCTGAGTTTATTCAAATTTTTACAGAAAAGATCAGATATGATCCAAAAATTGCATATACAAATCCAGAAGAAAATAAAATTCAAATAAAGGTAAAAATTACATCGTTAATCTCGGATCATGTTACTTCATGCATCATGATTAGAATGGTTACAGATTATTGACTTAAGTGTAATAATGGTAATAAAAGTAATTGCCACAGCTATATGCACCAATAGCTTACTTAACTTACTATATGTCAGGCACAGTAATAAGTGCTTTACATTAATATGTCATTTAGTTTTCACAATAACCAACTTGAGGAGATATTAATCTTATTGACATTTTACAGATGAGGAAAGTGGAGGTCTACACGATTAAATGATTTTCCCAAGGTCACAGGGCTTGGTAATCGAGGGGACCTGACTCCATGTCTATCCTCTTAAACACAAGGTCAGCCTCTAGATCCCCAGAATGCCTGTTTCCTTGCATGACCTTATATGAGTTCTCTGAAGTACCCAAGCTCATTTCCTTTAGCTGTAAAATGGGAATAACATTCATATATGCTAGGATTACTGAGAATTAATTAAGATAGTTTAAGAGAAAGTACTGAGCAAATCATGGAGCTATACAATGTTGCTTGTTATGTTACAGATAAAAACAAGGTTAAAAGTGAAAAAAAAAAAAACCCTGCTAATTGGCTCTTGGTCAAAATTTTCCAAGAAAAAATAGTATACTTAGGTAAACATTACTAATTGTTTTATCTTATGATATGGTTTGCATCTGTGTCCCCACCTAAATCTCACTTTCAATTGTAATCCCCAATGTTAGAGGTGGGGCCTGGAGGGAGGTAACTGGATAATGAGGGACTTTCTCATGATTTAACACCATCTCCCTTGGTGCTGTTGTTGCAATAGTGAGTTTCATGATATCTGGTTGTTTAAAAGTGTATGGCATCTCCCCTCTTTCTCTCTTCCACCTGCTCCAGCCATGAGAAATGCTGGCTCCCCCTTTGCCTTCTGCCATGATCATACATTTCCTCAGGCCTTCCTAAAAGCCAAGAAGATGCTTCCATGCTTTCTGTACAGCCTGCAGAACTGTGAGCAAATTAAGACTCTTTTCTTTATAAATTACCCAGTCTTAGGTATTTCTTTACAGCAATGTGAGAACAGAACAGACTAGAACAGACTAATACATTTAAAGATTAGAACAGACTAATACATCTTGCTTAGGTAAGACAGAAATTATTACATAAAGGCAAATGTAAATCAATATCTTTATTATACAGAGACAGAGAGAGAGAGAGATAAGCAGCAACAGACCAAGCCAGAAGTGAATAGTGAAACTAGGAATGCACCTTTGGAGATGAGTACCATGAAAAGTGTCATACCACTGGATTTGGTCTTTCTAAGAGCTCTTCAAAACTAAGGCTTTTTAAAGTTACCTGGAGTCATTATCAAGTCCTAATTTACTGTGATTCATATATATGTATTGATTTCTGGCAATATTTAATTCACCAGATATAGAAAGGAAAAATAATATTCAAAAGTGTCATTAATCATCATTTTAGATAAGTTATTACTGGGATTATTTTTTCCATAGGGCTTTGTGCTTTAAAAAATTATGTCATAAGTATCATGTCAATCAAGGTCCTAAAACAAGTATTACTGAAAATTTGAGATCAGGAAACTCGAATTCAACAAGATTAATAATGATAAGAAATCTATCTATATATGTTTTGTGTGTGTGCATGCATGTGTGCATGTGTGTGTGTGTGTCATACATGATGAGCATACAGGTGTCTCTCACTCTGGTTAAATATTAGAAAGCAGAAAAGTAGCCCCTCCTCTTCTTTGGAATTAGAGAAACCAGCGAAGTACTATATCAAAAATTAGGGGAAGAAAGATTAGAAGTAATAAATGGTAAAGAAAGTACCAAACCTCTCTAACACATACATAGGCCAATAATTACTTCTCTTAAGAACATGAACTTGGTGTTTTACCTAGATTAGGACAAGAGGCAGATTTTAGCAGACAGTGATGAACTGAATAACCCTTGTGCTTTCCTCCCACAGCACCAGCTCAGACAACCACAAAAAATGCCCCGTCACCCCTTGGCTGGATTTCCTTTTCATCCCATCCCCATTTCCACCTCTGTGGAGGTATTCGGTATCTAGCTATTAGGCTGTTGAAGAAACCAAGATTCTGGGATAAGCCTCAGATAACTCGTCTGTAAAATGAACTAACTAGCTGATTTCTAAAGTGCTAAGACCTCCCCACTATAGGAATTCTATGCCCAACAGATGTTTTGTTTTCTATTTCCTGAGGCATGTGAATTTTTTGTATCTAATAGCTTTGCACTTTTCTTAATGTCTGTTTTGTTAATGATTTTAAAGAAAGTATATATACAGCCAAAAGAAAAAAAAAATAGAGAAAAAGGCCACTGTAATTCCTATAGTCACTCTCAAGACTCTCACATCATTAAATGAGGAATAAAGGAGACTTTCAATTACATAAACCCACAAATATGCTAAGTTGCATTATCAAAAGTCTTTACTTGATTTTGTAAGAAGTAAGAAAACTGTGAGAGTGTATAGCATTTGCAAGGTCCTACCTACCTCCTGGCCGTTCATGCTCTCCATCAGTGTGTAAAAGCATGGCAATGGGCATCCCTACGTTCTTGGATCTTCCAGCCACAACCACATTTTTTCCAAATGTTTGAATTCCTTAAAATACAGAGTTTGGTTTAAATGCAGCATTGACAACAAGAAGTAAAATAAACATTTGAACAGCCAGCTGAAACATTCTTTTAAAATTTTCTAATTAAATCTGAATTATTATGTGGCTTGTCTATAATATGACCACACTCATGATTTAAAAATAATTCATTTTATGCTTCTTAGATTTGTCACTTCTTCTCTGATTACGTCCTCATTAAAAACCACAGACATTCTTCAGTTGCCATTAAGTTGCTTTTAAACATTAAGATTGACATTAAGAGTTAGAAGTGTAGAATCTTAACATATATTAACTGCTAATTATAAAATAAGCAAACTACAGCAATGTCACACTTAATTGGCAATCAAACGTTGAGCAATGCTGGGACAAAAACAAGTGAAAAAAGAGGCATTTTCACAAAGCTCATGCCTTTTTCTCCATAGGAAAGAAACGCTAAACTTACAGACATAGAAAGATGTAAAAAATAAAGCCTGCAGATTTAATACATTCTACTTCTTTTGGACTCATTTCTTCATAAGTAAAACAAAGAAGTTAGAACTAAGGATTTTCCAACACTAACACTGTAAGAGTATAAATCTACGATCTGTTTTCCCTTGGAGGTTTTTCTTTCTCAGAAAATAGCAGATTAGAAAGGAGAAAATGCCACCAAAAATAGAAGTAACAGTGATGGAGGTAGGAAAATCATCAATATGTAAGGCAATTTGGGGTCAATTAATGTAGAGGTAAACAACTCTATATACTGTAAGAGTCTGTGAGAGCGTTACTGAATCCAGCACAGTACATGTTAAATGTTTAAGATGAAAACCCAAGCCAAGAGAAATGATAACCATGAGATCATCACATATTTTAAAGGTAAAGAAAAAATATATTTTAGAAAAGTTTCTATCAAAAGGCATGAAGTTTATATTTTAGAGGTAGACATACACCACTACTGTGTGGAAAATTTACTTCCTCTAAGTTGCAACCGCAGTTATCTATAACCTGGCAAATGTTCTTCATTTTATTTTATTTTGAATTATGTTTTGACTTCTACAATTTTACATCTCTCTATATACTGATGCTTTATGAGTTATCATTTTCTGTCACCCTATAGGACTGAGGTGGCCCCATCAAGTCTCAGTGCACACATGCTCAGCTCAGCACCTAGCACCCATTTCCTGCAGACCACAAGTTACCAACCTGTTCTTGTTATTATTTCCCAAACAGCACTGGCAGTGGCAGGTATGAGAGAATGCTGATCAAGGCACAATCTTCCAATATTGATAATATGAAATCCATCAACATCTTTTTCTGGGGAAATTCCATTGCATATCGTTCGCTCATCAACATGGTCTGAAAAATAAATAAAATTTGTCTAATTTTTTTAGACAAATTTAAACTGTTAGATAAATTTAAGCTGTTACTTATTTGGTAGCTTGGAAAATGAAATCTGGGAATCTAAAGACACATCACTTATAATTCAGCTCCAAGAAAGGTATAAAGTCACTATTATTATTTGTCACAAAAATAGTAAGCAAAAATGTGCTTGACTGATGGCTAGAATGAACTGTAGTTGTAATATATGCTATTACAGACCCAAAAGGGGCTGGACCGGTAAAAGAAAAAGTTTGTGAATTAAATAATCCCAATGAGATCTGGTAATAGCCAGGTGTTACGCCTTTGCTTCAATAAGTTTGTATATTTAGAGGGTTTAAATCCACATTTATCTGACGTGAGACAATTTTATTAAATTAAATACTTTGAGCACTGCAGATTAAAGGGGTTTGTTAGTGTTAAGAATAATCATAACATCATTAGTTCTTAGCTTCCCCTTAAATGACATAACAAAAACGCAAATAGAAAACATGCAAACACACACACACACACACACACACACACATTTTCTCTAAAGCACTGGCATGGTGAAATCAAAATATTACTATGATTTGCTAGATGGAGAATAAGAATACAACCTGAGTAATAAACTAATCAAATCAAATATGGGATGCCAATCATCTCATTTTTCAAAGTAAGTACAGAAATATAAAATAGGCACCTATTACTCTAAGGAGAGTAGTTTAAATTACCACTAGCCTAACAATTAACCCATGTGCCTAATATATTAAAAGTATATTTTCTATGTAAAGTTTATTTGGCCATTATATAATGCCATTTAGACATAATTCTTTAAAACATTATAAAAGCCCAAGTTAAAACTTTCAGAAAACTATGCCTTGGGTTTTATACCTTTTGTATTCTGAAAGTGTGCTACTGCACCTTACTTTAAGTAGAGTCAATTAACCATAAGTAGACTACCAAAGTCCTTTAAATATATAAAAGTATTCATTTGAATCATATTCAAATAGAAACTGAGTCTTCGGACCGTCTCTCCAATCAATAGCTTTCACTTTCAATAACTGCATTCATTCAAAATGTTTTAGCAGGGCCTCCATCTATTTTCTATAGAGCTAGAAGATCATAATACAGATGCTAGTCAAACTTTTAAAAGAATACATATTTAACTTACTACATGAGGGTAAAAATAGTCGTTCTTTTTTTAAACAAATTATAGGTGATGATGATGATAAGTCATTTTAAATCACCTGCCACTCATGCAGAATCTTCATAACATGAATATTTTTTACAATGAAATCAAAAGCTTTATATATGAAAAGAAAAATAACTATATTTGAAGTATATATTTTTTAGCTAGGACTCAAAATAGTTTATTTCTAAGTTCAAAATTGGCTAATATATGCATGGACTGCACTACTGATTGAAAAGAACTCAACAAGGACTCTTTGTAGATTTTAAGAGCCATTCTCCAAACAATAAGCCTGAATTACACTGAATTTTGCCAACTACTATTGTGCTCCCATTCGCTGAAAATAACATTAAAGCTGTAACAAATAATTCATCACACACAACAGCTAAAATACTTGAGAAGAAATGTAAGCATCTGAAAAATTGGAAGCCAGAACTAGAGACTGATGGTTATAGATCTGTCCTCTTGTACATATAAACTTCAGCTCAGATCATAATTTAGATCACCACTTTTGTCTTAAGTATTTAAGCATTAGTAGTTTAAAAGACAGATGTGTGGACATACAAAAGGTATAGCAGATTCATAAAACCTGAATCTAAAAGGGAAAGAGCTTCATATGAGTAGATTAAAAAAAAGTGAGGATCACAAAAATCAAGAAAACCAATTCATTTATCATTTTTATATAACTCTGTTATCTCAGCAGTGTATTAAATCAATATTTATCTTTTTCCAGGAGAGATCTATCTTTTATTACGTAGTGTACATTATATAGCAATAATCTGAAGTCCTATATCTAACATTTAAAAAGTGCTTTACAATGATTATATTACTGTTACATCAATTTCCCTTTAATCTTCATAGTTACTGGGGACTAAGGTAGAAAAGGTATGATCATGCCCATTTTAAAGACAAGCTCAAGGAGTCTGAGTCAATCTCAAGCCACTACAAAGAATCCAGAGTTTAAATCCATATCTTTTGGCTCTAAGATCAGTTTTTCCTTTTGTATCATACAGAAGTCATAATAAATATTAATCACTTTAAATACCATTTAAAAACTGAAATCAGAGAGGCCTCCCTCCCAACTCCTAACAAGACATTTGATAACTCTAAAGTATCCCAAGAAATGTACCGTTTCTCCTAGGGCTCCAACTATAACACTATTCCTAGATTAAGTAATACATGTCTAAGCACATGCAAAAAAGCATCAAACATTTTACAGATAATCCTACTTCTTTTTGTTTTACGAGTAAGAGAAATAAATACATTTCCTGTTTTTGAATGACTGCTAGTAAAAGTTTCCCAAAATCTCACCCTTGGGGCACATGGCTTGAACAGAAAAAAGAATCATGAGACCATTGCATCAATTTTCTCACAATGGTTATACAACCGTTTTGATTCACAGAATACACTGGTAAACAACAAACCACTTAACATCTTACCCAAATGATGGTAAAACTGGTATTATTCACTTTGTGTTTTTCCCCCTTCTATTTAAGGTTATGAGAAATCATTAAATCATGCTAGGGAAAAAAGAAGTCATCAAATTAAAATCTGAACACTACAATAAAACAGCTCAGATAATGCCTCTAGGGAGCTCACTGTAGATTTATTACACTGAATATATATGTACTGTATACTACATAATAAAAAGTAGATCTCTCTCTCTCTCTCTCTCTCTCTCTCTCTCTCTCTCTATAT